AGCTCTGCGGGGTCGATAGGCACCATCTCCATGACGCTGGCGATGGTGTCAGGATCCTTGCGGCAGAAACGCTTGAAGGGTGTGGCGATAAGTTTTAGACACTTGCGATCCACAAAGGCTGATATTTCCAGCAGAGCAGCCATGGTGCGCCGCACGTCATCCTTGTTGCTGAAAATAGGCTTCCCACACCGCTCCACCAGCAGTCCAAGTTTGGTTGGCAACATGCAGCCAAAAAAATTGATGTGATTTCTCATGTTGCATTCAATTTTCAAGCAGTACGGAAGTGAAAAGAAAGAAAAGAAAAAGAGAAGGAGATGAAAGAGAACAGAATCAAATGTCGCCCTAAAATGCCAAGCACAGAAGCGAATGGAAGGAAAAATTTACAAAAAAGAAAGGGGAAAAGGGGAAAAGGCCCTATTACACACCTTTTAAGGAGACAAAAACAATATATGCATATATATATATATATTCCCTGTTCCCTCACTTTTCGGTGTGCTTTAATTTTCTTCGGCCTCAGGTCTTTCCTCTCACGCAATTTTCCTCTTTTTCTTTTTTTTTTCTTCATATTTCTGTACATAGGTCTTAGAGAAGGTTCGGCAGCCAGCAGAATCTACGGAGGAAGCAACGTCACAACATCTTTGAGGTCAATTTGTTGTCCCATTCGTTTGGCCTGCAAAATGACGGCATCTCTCAATGCAGCATTGCCACGAGCGATGCCAATGCTGACGCGAGCCACATCCACCACATCCGAGCAATTCGCCTCGCCCCCAACGCGGTAGGCATGCTCATAATAAAACAATGCGTGTTGGTGATCGTGAATAAGAGAGTACAGTTCGCCAAGCAGCAACAGACAGATGGCAGCTCCACTCTTATCTCCACCAATACTGCACTTTTCCAAACACTGCTCCAAGTCTGTCTGAGCCGCCCGCATATTGCCCATACGCAGATGCACGAGCCCCTGGTTTCCAAGCGCGATCGTTTCCAGCAGACTGCTCTCACATGTACGCGCATTTGTTAATGCGTCTTCAAGGGCTGACTCCGCGAATTCCAGCTCTCCAAGTGCGGCATAACTAACCCCCATGTTGATTTGGGCCACCGCCCGCGAGTAACATCCACCAAGAGACTCTTGACGTTTGTGATGCAGCAATGATGCCTTAAACTCCCGCAGACGGAAGTAGCAGACACCCAAAATATTGTGGCAAAAAGCGATGCCACGTAGATCACTTATTAGCTCAAAGGCTGAAAGAGCTTTAGCAAAGAAAGATCGTGCAAGCTCCATATTCCCACTATTATAATGCAGGGAAGCCACAGTGCAAAAGAGATGAGCCCCCTCCCTCGTGTTACCGCCACGGACAGCACACTGCGCCCGAGAAATGGCGTCCCTCATAACTTTCAACTGTACCACACTGTCGTCAGCGCCGGCTGCTGTCACGGCCCCTGGTCGTTGCTCCATCCAATGCACCGGCACGGACTCCATTCCCTTCAACAGAGCTGCCACCCGACGCGCAAGCGGGAGGTTCGTCGGCGGGTCCTCAAGGGGTGGTGCGTGGAACTCTTCAGGGGTGATGAAACGCAACGGGACGTCAAGCGCACTTTCTTGGGCACGAGCCGTCTTTACCGCCGCCTGAAGCACCTCGTCACCGTCGTACCGACGTTGAAATGGGAGCTCCGGAATCACCCGTGCCGGAGACCTGTCCCGCTCAGAGAAGCGATGTGCCCTGTTGAGTGCAATGTACCGCTCCACCGCGCGCAGGTTGTTCGTCGTCATCAGACTGTGCGACGCCGCCGGAAGAATTGTGTACTTCTTTCGCGTGCTCGAGATAATCGTCTTCTCCTCATCCAGCAGCTGGTTTCCTCTAGTTTGTTGCCGCGGCTCTTCGCCGCCACCGCCGCTGTCAATTTTTGCCGACGACGCTACAATTTGACTCATCGTCCCTTCAGCGATGAAAATTTGGTGTCGGTGAGGCCACGGCCGCCAATCGACCTGACGACAAGTTCAGTGAGCAGCCAAATGAACGGCGGAAAGCCTCAAAGCACGTCAAGAGAAAACAATGAGTATTTGTGTGTGTTTGCGTGTGTAGGTGTGGACGCGAAACAAAACACCAAGACAAGAAACGCTTGAAGAAAGGAAAAACAAAACAAAACAAAGCAAAAGAAGAAGACTACACACAGAATAAACCAAAAGAAAAGTGCATGCCGTCTGCAACACACGCCTCCTCCTTCCCCCTCTTATCTCCTTCCTTTAATCTCCCGCGTACACACGTCCACGCAGCATCATCTTCTCCCTCCAAGAGACGCCCGCCGCTCGCCGCCTTCATAACAACCCACATTTGACGGTGTATTTCCTTCTTTCCTCCCACTTTCTCCCTCCGTCGCCTTTTGCTTTTCGGCTGATCTCTCCCTTTAAATAACAAAAGGACAATTGAGAAAATGGGGTTCCTCCCTCACAATTTATTAAGGTAAATAAATACATAAAAAAAAAAAAAAACTACAACAGGCTACATCAGAACAAACAAAAAACGCTCACATGTCTGTATGGAAACAACGCCACAAGCAAAGAAGCTCTCATGTACATATGTAGATGATATTTAAGCGTCACGCTCCCCCCCCCCTCCACCTGGCCTGTCACAATACCCACGTTCATTTATTCGCTCCCTAGCAATGCACCGCGGCCATCGCCCTTCCATTCCCCTCCACGCAGCTCGCGCCCCTATCAGATTAACTCCGGTTCTCCCTTCACTATAGTGTCTTCTTCGCAACGGAGAATTTCTTCCCTAAGCGCCTTACGCAATTCCAAAAACCAGTTGTGGAATTCCTTCGTCTTTCCGGCGATACGGTATGGTGCCACTTTGGTGTAGCCAGCAGCAGAGGGAATGAGGCGGATACCAACTTCCAGGATCCGTTTGTTGGATTTCCTATAGGTACCGTAGAGGAACCCACCAACACTGTTCTCAAACCTTGTTGAGAGCGTTGTCTCCTTCGAACGAAGGCGTAAAATGATGTTTTCTTTTCTCCCTGCAACAGTAAACCCCGTGGCCAAACAATTATTAAGCGACTTGATGTCGGTGACGTTAAAAAATTTCTCAAAGCGGCGGAGTCGTTGCGTGATGGGGTGTTCCTTAAATGTATCATACCTGGAACACATCGTGACAAACTGTTCAAAGGAAAGTGTTCCATTGCCATGATTATTGGGATCAATGTTATCAAAGAATTTCTTAATCTCTTCCTCACTATAGTGAAGATTCAGCTGCTTCAAGCTCTCCGGTGTAATCAGACCGGTGTGCTTCACGTCAAACGAGTCAAACGCGCGACGAACCTCCTCTAGGTATTCCTTCTCTAGATCGTAGTGAAACAGGTCTGCCATGCGGCTAATATTATACTTCTTTCCAACGTCCTGTTTTGTGGTGCAGCCGATGAGAAACTCCTCTTCGGAAATGCGGCCATCTTTGTCCAGTGAGAAGTTGGACATGAAGCTGTTCACCTCCTCCTCGGATACCGGCTGATGATTTTTAAGCTTGATAAGCGCGTCACGCACCTCCTCTCTGCTGAGAAATCCACTGCCATTCACATTACAAGAGACAAACGCCCTGTGAATTTCATCAAATAGTTCTATTCCCGATGAGTACGTGTCGTCGAAGCCCCCACTTGGCGTCAAAACGCGCCTAATGAATTCACCCGCCAGTGGGCTCAGTGGTGAATGCTCCCCACTGAGCTGTGCCTCAGGGAAGAGGCCTAGATCCAAGTTCACCTGAAACCAAGGGTGACCAATGACATCCAAGGTGCTATAACGAACTGCCGGATCAAGTTCCAATAGGTGCGCAATAAGATCACTGGCTCCAGGGGAAAGATATCGATTTTTCGCATTATATTGGCAGGTGAGGATGCGTCTCTTGGTCTGTATGTCTGAGGTATCTGTAAACGGAAGATAGCCGCACAACATAAAGAACAGGATGGCCCCGCAACTCCACATATCACATGCGTCCCCCTCATATCCTCCACCTCTAAGCACCTCGGGCGCCTGGTAGTCAATGCTTCCAGCAAGCGAGCGAAAGAGGACCACCTGTTCATTCGAAAGAAGCCCTTCCTTTGTGTATCGAGAGAGTCCCCAGTCACAAATCTTCAGTTCATTATTTTTGCCTACAAGAAGATTTTCCGCCTTGAGATCACGGTGTGCAATATTGATGCCGTGGCAATAATGCACCGCGGAGATGAGCTGCTGAAAATAGAAACGAGCTGTTTTCTCATCAAAGCGCTCCGAATGTACAATCTTGTCAAACAGCTCCCCGTTCTGTGCCAACTCCATGACAAGATTATATGCACTCGTTGACTCAATGGCGTCAAACAGCTTCACTACGTGTGGGTGTTTGATCTTCCGCATCACCTCAATCTCCCGCTCCACGTAACTTTTTAAATCGTTGAGCATCACCAGCCTCTTGTCAATAACCTTTACAGCAACATTCATTTGCCGCTTCCTGTCGTATGCACAGTACACCTTACCGAACCCGCCCGTTCCCAACAATTGACCGAGCTCCACGTTACCGCCTACAAGCGGTGGAGCAGTATTAGGCCCCATTTCCTGTAATGGCTATAAATTAGCGCAGCAAGGAAAAAACGCTGACCAGAGCAAAAATAAGACAGAAAAAAAAAAGAGAAATAATAATAATAATAATAATAATAATAATAATAATAAAAGAAGTTATACATGCAAGGAAAAAAGAAAGAACAAACCCAATGGCAGTAAAAATAAAATTAAAGGCCCGCACTGCACTCATCGAACTGCCAGGGCCAATGGTCATAATTTTGAAGAGTGAGCACCCCATCACTCTTCTCTGTCTATTAGCAATTCTGTTCCCTCCCCCTTCATTTGCACTTCACCACCCCTGAGAAATAAAAATACGCGTATCATTATACACACCCTTATTTCTTCCTCCCCCCTTTCTGTGCCTCTTTTCCCTTCTCTCATCCAACATTCTGTTCTTGTTGTTGTTATTTTGTTTATTTCAATCGGTCGTAAGTGAATCCAGTTTCGGGCGCCGCAGTGCCGGTTCCATTGTATTGCCGTTTGGTTTCTCACACTCTCTCTTCACCGCCTTCATCAGAGTCCCCACCCGACGTTCAAAGTAATCGTCACTTCTTGATTGGCACCACACGTCAAACCGGTACTCTGGCATTTCCTTGACGACTCTTCCAATATTCTTCATTCGGAATCCCGTGTCGTATGCCATGAGGAAAAGTCGACGATCAAATTCATTAGTTCCGCGTCCTCTGAAGGTGAGTTGTGACTCCGGATGGTCATAACTCTCAACCTTCCACGTGGCGGCGCGCAGTTCATCATCCCTCCTCTTCCGCTTTTCCTGGGACTTCCTGATACGTTGTTCAATGTGTGCGAATCCTGTAATACACTGCATTCCACGCTCAAGGAGAGCCGTCACATAATCACGTACCTCCCCCACTGTCTTATCAGAGCCAACGGCATTCGCAATTCTTGGGTAATCAGTGACATCATACGCACCACTGGTGAGTGCCGCAACAAGTCGACGGTACTCTTGAAAGCTCCAACTGGCGAACCCCTCATTAAGAAGCCGCTCTCGTTCCTCCTGTTCCACGAGCGTCAACGTCTCGTCCTCCACCAAATCTTCGTTCCCCACGTTACGATCCGTGGCCTCTCCTTCCACCCCCACCTGTTGTTTTTGCTGGTCTCCATCTACACCGTCCGACGGTTCATATTTTCGTTTCCAATTCTGCACCATCAAAGCAACCTCCGTTGCGTGAAGCTCCCTTAACCGCTTGACATTGTAAAGTTGATGCGGTGGGAACTTGGGGCACTTTGGAAGGCGTAAAGGAGGGGCTTTTGTGACAGAACTCTGTATACGCTCGACGTCTTCTTGTGTATAATGGTGGAGTGCCTCCCGCACACGGTGACCGCGCCCGAGTTTCTCACCAAGGCTTAAATATTCCGTGATCATTTCCGTGGGTACAACCATTTGTGAGTCCTTCGCAGCGAATTGGCACTTGTACGGTAGATTATCCCTGGCCTCAATTGCACCACTTGTGGAACGAAAAAACACAAGGGCTTCAGAAAGGCTTGGATGCAAGACAACTTTTGTTACTTCACCGTGCTCAGAACACTGCCGCTGCAGTTCATCCTGCGAAACAGGAGTTGTAAGTGAGAGGTGCAGCATACGCGACTCGACGCCGTCCTTAAACCTGACGCCTTCAAAGTCATAAACGTTTGCCTCTTCTGCACCAAGTTGGAAACTTGCCAATGACATTTGGATCTGTTCCTTAATAGCAGATGTAAGTTGCTTCGACTTCTCCTCCCCATCAAAGAGTTGATCAATATCAGCCTCCGTGATGTCTTCATCCTTGGTCTTAAAGATCTCTTCCGCACCAAACTTGATCATAGAAAGAAGCTCCTCTTTGGAGACATTGTTTCCACCACGTCCCTGCATACGCCCATGCTGCACCACCATTGCGTCAAGGTAGAGTTTCTTTAGTGCGCGGCGGTAAATCTTTTCCTCCACCGTACCCTCTGTTATAAAACGGTAGACCCGTACAACCCGTTTCTGCCCGATTCGATGAGCCCGATCCTGTGCCTGTAGATCCATCTGTGGATTCCAGTCAGAATCATAGATAACAACGTGGTTTGCTGCCTGTAGATTGATGCCGAGACCTCCCGCTCTAGTGGAGAGTAGGAAAATGAAATAATCACTGTTGGGTGAGTTGAAAGCTGCCATTTGGGCGTCGCGATCGTATCCACTCGTGTTGCCGTCGATACGGCACACCCTAAATCCGCGCATTCCACAGTAATCCTCCAAAATGTCCAGCATGGTAGTAAATTGTGAGAAAATGAGAACCTTGTGTTTCTCTTCCTTTTCTCTTCTGAGGCGATACAATAATTTATCAAGAATCATCATTTTCCCACTGTGTTTCACGATGCGCTCATCTGTGATAAACGGTGGTCCTTCCTCGCCACCATCCATCATATACGGGTGGTTAATGACTTTGCGCAAGTTCATCATGATATTCGTAAGAGAAGACATGCTACCTCCAGAAGCCTTGTTCAGTGCCTCCGCATCCTTCGCCAATACATGCATGTACCACTTCCGCTGCGTTTTGGTCAACTTGCAGGCGACATAAATTTCCTTTTTTGGTGGAATACCGGTACTGACTTCCGATTTTATGCGACGAATCATAAGAGGGGCAAGTATCTTGTGCATGTTGGACATGGCATTACTATCCTGCTGCCCACTCGCAGTGTCAAACCACGCCTCAAAGGATTCAGCATTTTCAAAAAGGCGAGGTGCGAGAAAGTGCAGCAAGGCCCATAATTCCTTGAGATTGTTCTGCAGTGGAGTTCCGGTAATAATAAGACGATGATTCGTGTTAAGGGAATCCAATGCGGTGTGGACGCGACCTTCCTCATTTTTGAGTTTGTGGGCCTCATCCACAACCAAATACTGCCAATGGATGCGCTTAAACGTTGGTAACTCCTCAATTACCATCTCGAATGTGGTCACAATTATGTCGTACTTCAACTTGTCGTGCGGCTGAAGATGTGACTTTATGAGCTGTGGACGAATCTCACTGTTCCCATGGAACTTAAAGGCGTTAAGGGCCGGACACCATTGCTTGAGTTCACGGTACCAATTGCCCATGACAGACTTCGGGCAGACGACAAGATGCGGTCCGGGGAGACCGTAAGTGAATTTTAAATACGCCAAAGTTGCGATCGTTTGCAGCGTCTTGCCAAGGCCCATCTCGTCTGCCAGAATGCCGTTTATGTTGCAAGAAAAGAGACCCAGCAACCAGTTCACCCCCTCAATTTGATAAGGCCTTAGTTTGCCTCGTATGTATGACGGAGTCTCAGTGAGGTGCAGCACATCAAACCCCAGGGATTCTGCATCCGTCGTGTCCCTGTGGTGGCGACGAAGCCGACTCTTATTTCCGCCCTCAGTGTCACCGCCCCACTCTCTCACACCTGTCCAGTACTCCGTCTCTACCAAAAGACGATCAAAAGCACTAAGCTGTTGGTGCTGTGGTGAGGAACGAAGTGTCCGAATGATGTTCTCACGCTCATGGTAGATTTCCACAAGTTGCGAACGCTTCTCTGCAGCCACACGAGCAGCATGCAAAGGGTCGTAAATTGGTGCAATATACCCTTCGTATTCTTCCGCATCACTCTTATCATTGGGATTCATCCCGGCTCGCACACAACCAAGTAATATCTGTTCATATAACTCCGCAGCTGCAAGGTCGTTCATGCGACGATCAATATCAC